AAAAAAAAAGGGGAGGGGGGGTGCAGCTGGAGCATCTTTTAGAGCCTCGGTCATGTGACTTCCGACTGAGGCGGAATAGGTGGGCGGAGTTTAAGTCGAAATCACAACAGACATCTGAAAACTTTATCTTTATTATGTCGATAAAAGCCAGAAAACTGCCCTTGATTTCATCCAGCGACACGTACTCTAACTGGAATAAGTGCAGAATATTAATATAACAGCCGAGAAGAGGCGGGGAACGTCCCGTATCGGAGATTTTCTTAATAAAGAAAGTTTTTCCTGTAAAAACAGTGCTTCAAAAGTTGTTGCTGAATTAAATATGATCAGAAAAGTCACTACGAATCATAAAAAAAGCAAGACATTCCCTTAATATTACACTCTATACGTCATACTACAGTAATATAGTGGGATTAAGAAAAATGTTTTTTTTAAAGCAGTATAGTGACTTCTTTACTGGTAATTTAGTTTAATTTTATACGATATAGATATCAAACACTTCTAAATATGAACAAGAAAGCATGAATAAAAGCATAATATAGAATATTCATACAAATAAATAAAAATAATAATATTGCACTATAATTATATAAATAACACTATTAAATCATATGTGTATTGCTTAATTTGAATTATTATAGGAGTGTTAAAGTAGTAATATGGGCACATAAAATGTTATATTTATAGAAAAATTAAAGAGTTATACGTAGAAACCAGGAGGTGAACGTGACATAAACTCAGCTGATATTCAACAATGTTGCATGGCAACAGTTTAGAGACAGAAAAAAAGAACAAAAAGACTCATTAAATCTATTTATGAAAGGAAATGCTATGAGCTGATCTAATATAATAAAGACAACGATGTTTCCTGCAGACAAAACAAAAGTACCGAAAGTAATTTAGCAGTTTTATATTAGGATTTGTGACAGAAGTAAGTCAAACATGTCTGTATTTCTTTACACAAACTGGTACATTATAGAGTGTTTATGCTCTATGCGAAACATGAAGTGCTTGTTTAATAGTAACTGAGCGTCATTTTACACAATATAAGTATTAAATAATTAAAAGTAGGGACAATAAGGGGAGAGTAACAGGAACTCACCTTCATTGCACTGCAGACGAGCAAAGTGAATATATTATGAGGAAATGAAAGTCAATTAATAAAATAAAGTAATAATATTGCACGATAATCAGATTAATAAGAACGCTACGTGTGTTTATTACTAGAAACCTTTAAATGAGTGTTAAAGTAGTATTAATGGTACGTAAAGGTCTCATTTGCATTCATTTAATATGATTTCATGTTGTAGCAACACTAAACAGTTACAAGTACAAAACAAAAAGTAAAATGTAGCTCTACAGTCTTTAATTGATCGATATATTTAAGAAAAAGGACGATATTAACTCCAATCAAATCAAGTCTCTGTAGAAACAATATTGGCTGAACTTCTCAGAATCAGCTTCATTTACTGCAACCTGAGTGTGTTTAATGAAGAAATGCAAAGTTCTACCTTCATTCTAAGAGTGTTTTCAGAGCTACAGGTCCTTGAAGTACATAGAGGTGGGTTCAAAGACAAGATGTAAATCAACAGTAGAGCAAGTCGCATAAAGAGTCACTACAACAAAGGTAGTATTTTGAGGTACTTGTACTTGAGTATTTCCACTGAACTCTGCCGAGAATGTTCAATTCGTTATGTGACAAATGATGGAACATTTAGGGAGGAATGAAGCTCAAATTGTGCAAGAAGTCTCCATCAGACGACACAGAAGTGACGGCATCAGTTCTAAATATCAAGTTGTTGTTTTTGTTTTTTTTAAATCATCAACACTTTCTGAAGCAGTTGCCAGTTTCTGGTTCCTACATGCAGGCTAAGGTGCAGCACATGAGTGTCAGCTTTAGTGCAGAACAGCATTTTAGTTTTTTTGATGACCAAAGGTCTGCAGATGAGCAAGAATCTGGTGATTTTAAAGCAGAACCAGAGTGTGACAATGAGTCAAAACACACACGGCGAGTTGAGGCTGATGATGAGTCTCCAGTAGCTCCCAGACACAGTGATGAAGACGAGCGTCTGTTTGGCTGATTGTAGCTCAATCTCCACACAGTGACGTTCCTCTACGACTAAATGCATTCTCAAATGCGTTCTGGAGGGATTTATTTCCTGCTGGATTATGTCCTTGATGCTCCCTATCAATCAGCCTTGAAACTCTTTCAAACAAGGCGCCTTTCCCACCACTTACGAAAAAAAACCCACATTCCCCGCCACAGTAACACGACACCGCAGTACCTGAGCGTGATGTTTAATGTAGAACATCATTTCCCAAGATGCTGCAGGGTTTTAGTAACTCTGCAGATCAAACACGCTAAAAAGCAGCTTTCTGGCACAAATTCGCAGCTTGTGAAGCCAGAAGATTTTACAAACATCTCCTGGAAAACAACGGAAGAGGAGCTAAATCTGACCGAAGCACTAAAAGTTTGTGCGACAGCAGCTGTTTGTGACAACAGACAGGAGCAATGTGAACTCTGACCTGATTCATGTCCGTTATTGAAGAACAGATGCAGTTTCAAAACATCTCATAAATGTCTGTCTTTGTTTTCGTCCACATTAAACGGTGAAAACGTCACAGGACTTTATTCTGTGGTTTCTGAGATGCGTAATAGCAGAAAAATGACTCATGCATCCTGATTCTCTCGCTGGCGTTCTTCATTATGAAACGTTGAGCGTGCAGAAGTGAAATCTGTCTGACCAGTCGACAGCAACAACCCTGAGCCTTGATTTAGTACCGCGTCCTGAACGGGGGCCAAATTTAGCTCCTGGAGCTGGTTTTCAAAGTGCACAGTGGAAACCCGGGACAACAGCGAAGTTCAAGTCCTAGTTGGTGAGTTCCTGCAGTGGGGAAGGCCTTTTGGCATATTATGAACCCTCTGAACCGTAAAACCCACCAGTGTGTTTGAAAGACGCATTGTCTTTATTAAATGCACCAAAATAGCGTCAATCATCAGAACCACAAACAGAAAAGAACTTCTGATTTTCGACTTTCTGACAGTTCTTGAACTAATCGTGTTGCAGATACAGTTTTGTCCGACGTTTCTTGAACCTACCATGTGTCACATGTAGCTTTGTCTGGAAATTTATCCCAATCTAAGCTCAAAAATTGTGACATTTCATCAAAATCATTTTATTCTTCATTCATAAATTTGAGGACAATAAAGCGTTTGCACCAGATCCTGTTAAAGATGTTTTTAAAAGTGGTGAAATTCAGATGTTTTTTCTTTTTGGAGCAGAGATGAGGCAACAAGAGAGACTGAGAGGGAAAATAAAATGACTGGATGAATGAAATGACTGGCAAATCAAAAACAGTGAACAGAGGAGCAAGTTGTTGGAAGATACATCCAGCACGGTGAAACATGCAGAGACTTAAAACTGGACTAAAAATGGTCGAAAATGACTCAAAAAATGTGGTTTTGAACAAGATACAGGTCATTTTAAACGAGGTTGCAGTAATTTAAGACGGTTTTAAAGTCACTTTGGACCATTCTTGAGTCAGTTTGGACATTTTCTGTTACTTTGGAGACATTTTTTTGTTAATACCAACAAATTTTGAATCATTTTGGACAATTTTGGACTGAGAGGAAATAAAACAAACGCAGCACGGCTCAACAGCTGTATGCATAGGAGCGAGGTGTTGGAAGACACAGTCAGCACGGTGAAACATCGAGCTCTGATGCAGACCACTGTGGTAAAAAGCTAAATATTACAATATCTCTGGTATGTCGAGCCTCCATTCTTCTCCAGTGCTGGTAGCAAATGTGGCTGCTTAAAAATAAACAGTTTGCAATAACCGGTGTTCTGTAAAAAAACAAAAAAGTCTGCACTTCTTGAAACCATAGAGCATCCAGGCCTCGTTTACACGTAGCAGAAACGGTGATATTTCAATGCGTCTGGGTCTTTGGTTTGCACATAAACGAAGCTAGAAGTCACCGAAAACAATCACATCTGAAAACTCCGGCCACAGTGGAGATATGAAAAAACTCGGTCTTTACGTTTGCATGTAGACGGGAGGAGACGGAGTTTGATGTCACAGTGTGCGACAAAAGCATCATCAGTGTATATGTGTGCGATCATGTTTACGGTTTGGCTACTGTGATAGAAATGGATGCTGTTGAAGCAGATTGTTGTGTACTCTGACACCACATGTAGGAGCAGCTCCACTTCTCTGTCGGTCCAAACAAACGCCATTATCGTTGAAGTTGTTGTGTTTTTTTCCAGGATTCTGATTGGCTAGCATGGCTTTATGCTTCTCGCTACACTGCCCCCTATAGGTGTGGCATGCTCATAGCAGCTGTTTGAAAACGATCTGGTGTGAACGATGTTATTTTTAAAAACGTACCCGGCTATGTGTAATCAGCAGTGACAAACAGTCACATGACACAGATTCCCTCTGGATCGATAAAACATCCATCTACGTGTGTCGTTACGGTCCGATCTGAGGAGAACTGGAGCTGAAATGATTATTTAATTAATAAAGAAGAAGGCAGAGAATTAATTACAAAACCCACTAGTTGGTTAGACACATCTTTAAAATAAAAATGTAAAAAAAAGACTCATCTGTGAGCAACAGTCTGAGAGTGTTCAAGTGAACTGCAGGCAGTGTTTGTTTTTGTGTCCAATAACTAATAATCAGGAAAATCAGAGATAAAACAACAACAAACTGATATAAACGTACGACTTTGCTCAGATTTGACAAACTTCTGCGTCCTTAAATTAATCGATTAATCCTCAAAGTTTTTACTTTTTCCTCAATATATGAGCACG